TTTTAAAATTTTTCAAATCAACTAGTTGGAAAGTTGTCAACTAGTTGATTTTTCAACTAACGATTTGGATCACTACTGTAAAGTATTCAATTAAAAAATGTATTTTAGAATTTAAACACAAATATCTTAACATAATTTTATAAAAGAAATATTAAGACTTCTTTTTACCAAGTTTGGTGTCAATTCATCGCATAATTAAAGCTGAATTACTATTTAAATCTTTTAGACAATGTATTTGCGGTCTTGCTTCGAATATAGTTTACTAAATATTGTTAAACATAGCGTCATGGATCATAAGTTGTATAATAAAGATTTATAAATTGCTTTTTTTTTTTAAAAAAAAAATACAACATTGCTATATGGGACTAGACATATGTTTAATTTTATTAGATATCGACCACCCCAGCGTAACAGATAAGTTTTCATGAAAATGCGTATCCTGAGCCGAAATTTATCCGAATCATGCAAAACTTTTGATTTCCGTCAGCTCCAGCTGTTTTCATCATATTACGACAGAGTTGCGGGTTAGTAAAATCCACTACGTAGGTGAAATCCGCTTTTGTATAATAAAAAACATAGCTAAACACGGATTTCACCTAGCATTTCCAACAAAATTACGTAAGATTAATCGTCACAAGGAAATAATTCCCAATACATAGTAAAATTTTAATTCACATGTAATAAATATAAGCTATAATATGTAATGATTAACCATACGTAATTTTGTTGACTCAGAAAACAAACTGGACACAGATATAATTGAAAGTCTGATAATAGGGGTTTCCAGTAACTGAATCGATGAACTATCGAAAGTCTGATAATAAGTTTTACCGGTAACTGAATCGGTGAGCTATAGAATCGGAATTTGGTCATTTTTTAAGTGTCAGAATTTATAGAAACAGCTTAACAATTTCATATATAGTCCCGATGGTCTTTATATCAGAAAATAGTTTCTGCAGTATTCGCATAACACGTTTGCAGCGTTTATTCCATACCATATAGCCCGTCGTATGATGACGGGCTCTAACACTAGTTTTTTATTATTATAATTCATCCATTATTACAATAAATCCAATAATATAAATTCAATTGAATTAAGTACAGGTCACATTACCCGTATGTGAAATTTCTAATGTCATGCTGTTTAGCATCATAGAATAAGTAGCTATGTTCTCAAATGTGCAAAAAACTAAGTAAATGAAATTCACGAAATTCTAAAGTTAGAAGATGAACGAATAAACAAATATGCTTGAGGCCAAAATCACGGCATAAGTAAAGGTATTAGCATAAGTTGTGGAGGCAGCATTTTTAGAATTGCTAGGACTGCTAGGACTGCTAGGACTATTGGATAACGAAGAATTTTTACTGGATTGCGCTGATGGAGGATTGTCGGTGCTATTGGCTGTTGGACTTCCAGAACCAGAACCAATAGTAACCATTCCAAACATACCATTTTCGCAACGTCCGGGAAGATCACAGATGAAAAAGATGTCGCCACTAGTTTGATTAATCTGGTACTCAAACTTATCCGGTGTGAAGGTACCATTTACTGGTGGGGGTGGGTTAGCGGTTGAGTTATATAAGAAACCTCCAGCTAAAAAAAAAAAGAAAAATTTTTTTTATTAAAACAATATTAAATAAAGATTATTTATATATTTATTTCTCAACCCTTCGAGTTTATGCTATCAGCATCTATCCTATTCCCTGACACCATTTACCCCGACAGCTACTTTACATGTAATTATTAGTCATCATACAATCAATAACGATAATAACAAACAGAGAATAGTTAGCATGAGGAACTGATTTCTTATCCCTATTTTTTAATTTTAATTTCAAACTAGCGGAAAAAAGAATAGAGCTTAAGTATCAACACTTATCCATGATAGAACAGAATAACCGTAGTTCCTTTCCATGCAGCAAACTATATGCACTATGTTAGTTTTTTAAAGACTTACACTTTGGATGTTTGCAACTCTCAATGCCTGCAGGGCCATCAGATTGAACCACACTGGCTTGTGCACTAACGAATAGAAAGCGAAGCTAAAAATAAATAAAAAATCAAATAATTTTAATTGTTAGTTTTTTGAAAAAATAATCAAAGAAAAATGATTAATTGGATACGAACAGTATCACCGGGATTCGCTGTAGTATTTTGAGGTAAAAATGAATAACAGCCTGGCACGCCAACCTTGATATCAACATAAGCAGCATGGCTGTTAAATATGGAGATAGCTATTACTAAAAAGATTGCTATTATGCGAGACATTTTAATTATGTTGGAAGGTGAAATGTTTTAAATTTACGGAATCGATGTGAAAAGGATTGCAACTTATGCTAAATATATATTCGTTGTGGGAGGCAAATTCGGTAGCCAGTAGGAAAATTTTAAGTATTCAAAGAATGGTATTTATGAATTTGCGGTGAAATAAATTGGTTGAATCGAACATAATAAAGACGAATTACATGCATATATATATACGTATCTATATATATGTATTCACTTTCCCAAAATGTTTATTCTATAATGTGTCTTCCAGAAAATAACCATTTTTGTCATTTTTAATTAAACGCAATGAATTCACGTTTCAAATTACTTTTGAATGAAATTATTTGGTAATATATTTAGAATTAATTAAATTATGACCCGAATTAGGTAACTTTCATATAAACATACTAATCTTTTTATTGGTTTAAAACACGTGCTCGAAATTATGTTTATCATCAAGCCTAACACTAAATATAGATTATAATAAAATAATTTTTCTATTATATTTGTTTTCACACTGACTTCAGCGCAACTCCCTTATGTATCTTTTAGTACACAAAAGAGCAAATTTTGAGAGAACCATGATCGACAATTTAAACGACCGTCTGTTACCATGTGAGAAATGAGGTCAATCAGTCAGGATACGTACACACCCCTTACAATAAATTACCGGAATGATCTGTGTAAAAGTTTTTAACTTTCTTTATTTGTCTCTATTTAAAGTTAATAAGCTACGCTTCCTAAAAAAATTTTTCCAGTTAGTCCTAAAGATTTTTAATATTTATATTTTACGCAAAAAAATTTTAGGACAGCTTCTTAATTAGAACGTTTCCTTATAAAAATTTTTCAAAAATCCTAAAAAATAGTTTTTAGAAAGCGTAACTACATTCAGACCTTGATATAATCATCAGGTCATGAACCAAAAACTTGATGATTATAAAAAGTTGTGACTATATAAAGGTCAAATTTTATACGTTTTATAATACGTAGTAGCTAATGAGAGTTCTGAACATTTTTACTTAATACATATGACCCTGTTTCTCAGTTCCGTTTTTGAGATATTGTACCCGGTGATAATCACCACCAGTTATAGTTAGTAAAATTCATATGAAATTATATTATAAATAATTAATTTTTGAGTGGTTAATTTATATATAAAATAAACTATATTTAAACTGTTATAACCCAAATTGGTATTGGACAATGTTCAATTATATAAATTGAACGTATATCCAATTATTTAATAATTTTATTAGATAAAAATTTAGTTACGGTCAGACCCTTCCATAGTTACACTTGTTATAAGCATGTTATACAAAAAACTTCTTTATAAGCACATCTATTTAAAAACCAATTATATATAAAAAAAAACTTTTTATAAGTAAATTTTAATAAAAATCTTTTTATAAGCACACAAATCTTTATCCTAAAAGGTGTAATTATAAAGAGATCTAATTATATATAAAAATAATTAAATAAATTCTAACTATTTAAAAATGTTAAAATGTTAAAATAATATATCAAAATTAAAGTATAATAAAAAACTAGTAATATTTTAAAACAAATAAAATTTTATTTAAAAATAGATATAGTATTATATAGATATATACTTTTTTCGACAATTATTAGAATCAAATTTTTCAAAAAATTGAATTACAGAAAACATTATAGTTAATATATTAAACTTTATGATAACTCTTTTAAAGCATTAAGTATGCATAGCAAATATTAAAATAAAGTTAAAAAAGAAATTATTGTTTTGTGATAATATTTTGAAATTGTAGAAGAAGTGGTTAGTAAAACCTAGGAGTTATTTATAAAGTAAACAATGAAGTTAGATATATTATTTCTATATAATTATAAAATCTATAAAGAATACTTACAAAGATAAAGAATTTAAAAAAGTTAAAAGTTTGGTTTATATATTATCTTTTTATTTTCTCAAAAAAAATTTGTAAAAAGTAAACAATTTAGCTTATTTTTTTCAAAAAATTGATACATAAAATTATTAAAATAGTTAGTAATATTTACTTTCTAATTAAAATTGTAAAAAAAATATAACAATACAAATATAACTCATATATATGTTTTGAACTACTAAAGTTCTATGAAATGCTGTTTTTAAACTAACTAATACTTTATACTGATTCTCTATATTTAAGTTAAAGTTTTATTTTATATAGTTTTTATTAAATATTTTAACTAAAAAAAATAGTAGAGTTATTTTTATTTAGTATAGTTTATAATTTTTAAAAGCTTGATATAGGCTTATAATTATGATCATATAATAGTTATATGATAAAAGTTACATATATCTTTTCTTTTTTCTCATTTTTTACTTTTTGTTTTTTATTTTTTATATTATATTTTTTATTATTTATTTTTATACTTCTGTGTTTTTTTATATATATAATTTTTTTTTTTGTTTTTATTTACTTCTTTATAAAAAGATATTATCAAATTGGTAATATTTTATTATAAAACAGTAATCAGATATAGTTTCTGATATATGTTAATTTCTTATAAAGTTAAACAATCAGTACAGACAGATTACTTATAGGTTTTCTAGAAATATCTATAAGATATTAAGTCAAAAGTTATACAAAATATATATATATATATATATAAATTATAATAATAAAGATGATTAACAAAATTATTTAAATGAAAAAAAAAATTATAATATTATATAATGATATATTATTAAATAAATATTTTATTATATTTTTAAATTTTATTTTTTTAATCAAAAACTAAGTTTTTTTTAGTTTTTATTAAGACTATTGATTATTAGCAATTATTGTCTTTATTGTAATTTAATTATGATTGTATAAAAAGGAATAATAATATATTAAAATAATTATATTGTTAATCTTTAAGTGACAGATCTAGAGTTCAAATCCTATTATTGATAAAAATTTGAACTTTTTTTTATATTATAGTTAACTGTTTCTATTATTAGTTAGAATTAAATATCTGTTACTAGTGTTATACTAATATGACTAAAAGATCACATAGTATTTATATAATAGTTATACTTTGTATGAAGAATACAAACTAGTGCTGAATAGTATAAACTTATAATAAGTCTTTATTGCTATATAAATCATAGTAATCAAGTAAACAAAAGCTTATTTAAAAGATTTAAGTAGAAAAGTAGCCTAAATTTTTAACAATACTATTATAAAGACTAAATCTATAAAACAGAACTAGAACTTATAAAGTCAAATATAGACAAGTTAGTCTTTGAAAAAGAGTTGTTATAATCAGCCAGACTATTAGAATTTATTCTAAAAAAAAGATTATATATTAAAAAAACATATAAACTAAAGGCATATTTTTTTGGGCTATTTGAACTAAAAGTTTAATAAAAATTGAATTGAATATTAAAGTAATAAGAATATAATATAAAATAAGTACTAAGATTAAGATAAACTCTATAAGAGCATAGTAGTTTAATGATATACTTTAACTACAAGTGTTTATTTTAGCTATAGCATTACTAGATTAGTTGTAATAATAGAATACAGAAGATTCTGAAAGGTTTAGTATAAGGTCAAAGGTTCTTTATATGAGTAAACTGCTTTAAAAACTTAGT